CTTTTCTGGAAGTACTCGGTGCTCTTCTCGATGAGCAGATATTTCACCTCCTCTTATTCCAAGCACTTGCCTTTATGTCTTTGATTGTTTTCGCCTTTTAACAATAACATTTTGAAAATTCGGCTTTATTGCTTGATCGCAGCAGGAGAGCACCACTTTTTGGGATTGCTGATTTCGAAAACCTTTTAGCGTTTTTTAACGCTATGCCGGTGACCTTGCATCTGGAAAGCAAAAACTGCGGGTATAGAGAAAATTCGGATCCCGCATTAGGGACAATTTTCGTATACAAAGATTAAACGGTAAAGATTCTGGTTCATTCCTGAACATATACTAAAATTGGAACAATACAGAGAAGATTAGCATGGCACCTGAAAAAAAGATCAAAGCATCGTTGTATTTATTTACCGCACAGCTACATATTTACAAGAACAAGAAAACAATAACAATTTAAAACAACTACTTGAGAAAAACCAAAAGTGAGAAATTTTAAGAAGGAATAATTACCCCACGCTCGAAGGAAAAAGATCTTGCATGCTTCATAAAAACTGTTTTGAGGAACAAAAAAAATGATAGATGAGCAGAATCGAAAACGTGTACAAGCCGAGCAAAGCTGAACGACTGAACGACTTCTTGATTATTCAGTCGCTGAGAGTTTTCTAAAGTTCAGTTTTCCTTCTGAAACCCTGAACTTTAAAAAACCTACTACTTCTTACTCGGATTTTTCAGAATTTTTTCGCTCAGCTTCAACGTCGACGATACTCCATGTTAGGTCAAAAACAAAAATATTTTACAACTGATAGAATGACTGTAGAAGATTATAAATTTTACAAGTTGCATGGAGCACATCTTTAAGTATCACTAAAAAGAGATCATACGATTCAGTAACACAGGGAAATATTCACAGATAATCGAACTCTTTAGTAAACCTCGCTGGTGTTGGCGTTGTCAGAGCCAGACTGAGCCTGAAATAAGGGTTACTTCGAACGTGGGGATTGAAAAACGTAGTAGAATAGGATGAATTGCTAAAGGAGCGTAATGATCTACTCATAGATAAGTGAGCCTAATAATCTAAAAAATCGATAAATACCTCTTCAGCATTCTGCTCTCCTTCCGACTCGGAGCAGGTAGAACTGCTGCGATCATCTCCAGAATAGACGATTTCTTCCCCCTAGAGACGCATAATTCTTGAAATGCTACAACTTTCCAAAGACAATCTTACATTGATATCTCGTGGTTTTAGCAATCCGATTTCGAATGCTTCTTGGCAGTTAATGCCAGCGAGCTTTGATTGGATGGCTCTCATCCACTGCTCGTTCGTCACTCGGAAATCTGGCACCAGTTTCAGTAGAATGTTCGACCGGTTCGCCTGTAGATGATGAATATACCAACAAAAAAAAACTTGACAATTACTTCAACAAACCACATACATAAGGACTTAAGAGGATATTTTTCGTTCTATGCTAAATCTCGAGTAAAAAAAGGTCTTTAAGTTCCAATTAATAACCGAACGCAGTTCAAAGGAACAAAATGTTAAGTATGTAGTAAGATACCCTCTGTCTCATTTCCATCAGACCTTTTCTGCAACTTCACGTAAGTCGGGCGATCGGTACGAGGAAGCTACGGCAGGACCCGAATAGGCCTGCCTAGGTTGCTGTGATTGGCTATTCATCAAGGGAGCGCATTCAACTGTGCCGGTCTGTATCGCTCCACAGACGCACCGCACCGACTGGCGGCATATGTGGAAATGCACAAAAGTTCTGATGAAAACTAGACCGAATGTATGTGATCTGCCACTACCTCGCTAATGTCAGTTTCTTCATTGCTGCGTTACTCAAGTTCTTTTACTATGTGCATTTCGAACATATGTGGTAAAGTAAATTATTCTTCCGATTCGCTTCATTTTTTGTGGACTAAGACCAGCAAGGTGGGCGGAACTAGGATATGTCCAAACTGTCGAAAATTGAGCTGATTCTCAACGTTCTAAACAGTTTGGATACGTGCAGGCACCTGACCCTGCCCACCTCACTGATCTTAGTCCGCGAAAAAGAGTGTAACTGTGACGGATTATGCAAGTGAAAACTACTTCTCTAAAATGTTTGAGGGATTTTTTTGTGCAGATTCTGCAGCTTTCACGAATCCAGATGCTTCGAGGCCCCACCGTTAGCTACAGGCGAGTCTGCGGACCAGATGTGTATGAAAATGTGGGATCTGCTCAGTAGTCATGCGCTCAAGAAGCACCGTTGTACTGCCTATAAATCTGGTCCGAAATTTGCATAAGGATTCAATAATTTTCACCTTAGCCAGAAATATCGTTTCTGGCTTGAGTCCATAAAACTGTCAAAAATCAATTATCTTTGATCCTGCCCCTTTAAAAATTCTATAATCAAAAATTTGGCTCAAGTCCTTGTTTCCCGCCTTTCCTTGCCTAAAGGTAATAAACCTATCTATGCGAAGTCGACTACAGAAACAACATTTTTCCATGCCAACAATGGCTCATTACCTTGGCATGAACACAAATGTTCTGGAAGTTTCTGTTTCCAATCTGAACAGACTTGATAATCTCCACAACGTTTTCGGTCACCGTCGCGAGGCGCGCTTTGTCCTCCAGCAAATGCATGAATGAGCTGCTGAAAAAAGAATCCAGTTAATATAACGCTCCCCTCTAATCTGCTTATTACTGTAAAAATAACTAAAGTAGAATAAGTATTCTCCAACTAACTTTTTATTGCACATCAAAGCCAAAAACCTTCTCCCCTCTTTGATGGCAGCCACAAGAAGGGAAGTGCTACGTAACTCTCTAACTCTCAGCATAAGTCCAAACAAAGAAACGCATCCGGCGGCTATATTCCACGTTCGCAAGCACTATAAGATGTCATCATAATAAATGGCAAGCCGTAATCCATGAAAAGGTGCTAACCTCTTGGGCAGACGGCTTTCTGAGTATGATACCAGATGGCTGAATAACATCATTTGCTAGCACATCATTCATGGCGACAAATAACACTTTGTATATTGTTCCAAATGTGCCCCTAAGTATGGAAGTACACATGAGACAGCGTAAGGCACTCATAAAGTAAAAAAAGACATTTCCAAAAAATACCAAAAATGGGCAAGAGGCCACTGGGGGTGGAGCCAAAGAAAAATCGACCGCAAAAACTTTAAAAATGCTTTTAAAAATTGGTGGAAATAAAAATCGACATTTTAAAGTTGATAACAAAAAAATTATTTTTAAAAACTGACACCATTTTTTAAGTGACCCCTAGGCCACTTTCAAAAATACGTCTCACCTCGTGAAACAAGCAAAGATCTGTTTCGTCTCTTTGTCACCCAAATCAGGATCATCGGACTCTTGCTCGTACACTTTGCTTTTTCTCCTTTCATCATGTGGAACCTCAAAAAAATACAGTAAAAGATGAGCAAATAGAAGATAACTTGAATCATAAGGGAGATTCGAACAATCGAGATGGTCATTTGTGACAAAGTACGTGTTAATTCTATAGACTATAAAAGCGAATTTTTGTGCGTGCCGAGTTTATTAGATTAAGCACCCCAGGTCAAATACAGGTGCAAATCTACGGGGAATGCGCAAACGCCATGGTATCCAAGATGTCCTCTATTTAGTCAAACGCCGCGTTTTACTATAGTTGGCAGAATGATGCAATATCTTTGAAAAAATCCAAAAATAAAATCAAGACGACGGGAAAGGATGTGGCAGGCACGTCATTTATGGAAAATGAGGGAACGGGGCATCCGTTTCTCTTATTTTCCCTGATTTGTTTGCCCGGCTCCCTTCCACCAACACAGTTTTAACGGGATCTAAAGTCAAGAAACTGCAGTGTGAACACGAATTCCGTGAACATTTTTGAGATGTATAGAAAAAGTGGGGAAATATAGAATTTGTTAATCAAGTTCATTTAGAAATTCTTCAGACTGTGATGTAATCTGCAAATGGCCACCCCGACTGTCTGAGCTTCGCCTCTTGTCACAACTCACCAAATCAGCTAATTTCTTCGCAAGAATCCACTGTATCGCACAAAGCCGATAATTTACAGGGCGGAGATTTAGGTAGTGACTAAAACAAACAGTAAAAGTTATTTTTTTAAGAAGAAGTTCATAAGCAACCAACCCTAACAGTTTCCTGACAGCTGAAGTAAGCACTGCACCTTTGATTGGTTTCCCCTCCTTGTCAACCCACTCTTTTCTCAAGAACTCCAGTGTATTCCTTGCTAAAGTAATGCAAATTCAAGCAAAATGCTCTACTCTGACCGTCACAAAATAACCAACCCAGTCTATTACTAAGTTCTTCTCTTGGGGACTGAATTGTAGCCGCACAGTCAAGAAGAGCCATAGCGACGGTAACATTCGGAACTACCTCACATATATCAATCAAATATTCATAGATGGTCTTTTCTGCTTCACTGCCAGCACTTCTCTAAAAATGCACAGCTATAAAAAACACTAATTATAAGATTAGTAATCTTGAGCTAGCGCACCTCGCTCTCTTCTTCAATTAGTGCACGTTCCAAAACTGTCATTATTTTGTCGCGACGGACTCTCTTTCGTGTCGTTACTGCATCCGAGTCGCTGGGTAAAACCGAAATGTGGTTCCTGCAATGAACGGGTTCATTCCATTTGCTTGTCAGTCAACCTTGGACAAAAACTACTTTTCATTTCTTGTTTATCACAGCTAAAGTCCTGGTGCGAAAATTAAAAAAAAGCAAGTCCAATGAAAATCTATAAAGTTCCATATGGTAAGCAAAAAGTGGACTGCTCACCAAGAAAATATGTGTTCTAATGTAGCCAAGCATAGCCGCAGCAAATCTGCCAGCTGGTCTGACACCTAAATGCGTGAGATTAGAGTCTAGCAGCTAGTCCCGCACTGATAAATATACTACATACATCTGTTTCTGTTGTTACCACCGCTGAGGAATTGAACTGATCGCGGAAGTAGGAGACAGTCTTCGAAAACGTATTCCAAAGGATAGGCAGTAACTAAACATTAGAAGTACTTCCACAAGCGTTAAGAAAAATCAATTCAAAGCTAGCAATCTCACCTTCTCTACTTCTGCTGAGATCTGTGTAAGATCACCATGGAGTGTAGCAGTTGAAGCTTCGCCCTTAATTAAAGGGATTTATATTCTACCACAAGTAATGTGGATATTCGAAAATTGTTCATATGGGCATGTCTATGAGGAAGCAACCAAAAAGAGGATCCTCCTAACATCCACTTAACTTGCTGCCTCGTTAAACAAGAGTTACCTTATCCCATGGCACCGACTTCTTTCCCACTCTAGGACAAACTTGTTTCAGTATACTCAGAAGATGTTCGATAAGAAAGATTGACGCTCTCCGTCTTCCTTGAGTAAGCTAAATGTATGTTCCAGAAGTGTCATAGAATCGAAA